AACCCTTACAGCCCTACTTCTCTTGCCACTGGAGTTACATTTATCATGACTATCATCAACAGCTACATAGTTACTTTCATGCCATTGTCAGGCGTGTCAAATCAGATAACGCTCTTTCCCACTGATGTAGGCCGACTAGGCCGAGCTGGAGAGGCAGGTCCCATTCTGATGACCGCTACGGGCTAAAACGTCCCTCATCCAGGTAGCACTAGCTAGCAACGCCTCAGGTCACAGACACCAACTGTTCAGGTTGGTTTTGAGTAGGAACATTTCTGTTTGTCTTTTTGACAAGATAATATCCATGCAGTCACAGACACACACGATCAGCTGTATTTACATTTACGTCATTTAGCAGACGCTCTTATCCAGAGTGAATGCATCCATGTTTTTTTTGTTCATACTGGCCCCCCGTGGGAAACAAACCCACATTCCTTCCAGCCAAACCCTCCCCTACCTTGGACGATGCTGGACCAATTGTGCGCCGCCCACAGCTCCATCATATCACCCAACCCGATGTCCTCCATCCACAAATGCACATAAACAACAAAAAGCACCATTGTTTTATCACAAAGGCAAAATGTGGATGGATTTGTGCTCACATGGATTGTGGGCGGGTGTAAGGAGCAGTTTGCGTAAGAGGATCACCTTGGTAATGGTGTAATTCAAAGGAGAACGCTCAGCCCATCGCATCCCCAGCCCATGCAGCCCCCTGAGCCAGCCCAGCCCCCTCCATGTGTCTTACAAGTGGGTGGGCATGACTGGCTCCCCTGCTGAGGGCCATTATGGCTTGAAGACACTGGCACAGGGGGATTACCCAGCCCCATGGAGTAGAGGGAATTAGAGAGAGAGAGAGACGGAGAGAGGGTGGGGGAGGGAGAGAGGAGGGAGGGGTAGAGAAAGGGGAGAGAGGGAGGGAAGGGATAGATAGATGGGGAGGGAGGGAAGGGGGGAGGGAGGGAGGGAAGGAGGGAGGTAGAGAGAAAGAGGAAGAGAGGGAAAGAGAAAGGGAAAGCTGATCCCTACTCGTCCTACCCGCATGCATGGAATCAGGGATGTTTCACACCCACATGGAACTGCTCAAACATAGCATACCTTCGGAAGCCCAGTCAACAAAAGCTGGAATTGTGAGATTTTGCTCTGTGTGTCTGTGCCATATGTTATGTTTTGAACATTCTTGTTTCTTAGAAACCCACTCCTATTTCACATTATTCCATTGATGTCACTTGCAGCATTAAGTGGTCAGTTTAATACAGAGAGGAGAAAGAGAGAACAAGAGAGGGCGAGAGAAAGAGAGTGGCCACCAGGAATTCAGCAGATTAGATTGAATTAATTTATCCTCCACAAAGCTATGAATGGATATACATACAGTAGATGGCCAATTTGTGACTTTGCTTTTGTCCTAATATCCTTGCTTGTCCTCCTCCCATCCCATGGCACTCAGGAATCAGGGTTCACAACAACAGTGATTTACCTTCGCAAATTTAACCTGATCTCGGGACAAATTATAAGGGCACTTGTTGAGTGAGCGGGGGAGAAAGGCTGTGCGTCCCAAATGGCACCCTATTCCCTCTATAGTGTCCTACTTGTACTATTTTAACCAGGGCACATAGGGCTCTGGTCAAAAGTAGTGCATTAGGGAATAGGGTGTCATTTGGGACGGAACCAGGGCTCAGGACCTGCAGGTCTCCTCCCTGCCTCCGGGGGGCAAAGTGGGGCCTTAGCGGACCAGGGCGCTTCATGGAGTCCCATGGCCACGCAAGGCATGCTTAGCTGCTCGTTACATTAAAACAGGGGCTTCTGTGACAGTCAACATTATGAACGCTAAGAGGATTACGCTGATGGACCGTTCTGGCGTTCCCGCCGTCAATTATCAAAATGAAAAGCAGTGACTGGGCAGGAGCCACTCTCTTTTTCCATCTCTCTCTTTTTATCTCTATCCCATTCTCTCTTTCTATCTCTCTCTTACTGTCACAGAAGGGGTTACTGAAGTTCAGAGAGAGAGAGAGAGAGGTAGAGAGGTAGAGAGAGAGAGGTAGAGAGAGAGAGAGAGGTAGAGAGAGAGAGAGAATAAAGGCATATTTTTTTTGTGTGCGCTTGTGCCATGGATTATAAAAAAGGGCATTTAAATTTTAATGTTCCTAAAGTGCAAAACTATATGTTACGCAACTGTTCTGTATGAAACTAGCCTAGCTGCGCATCAGTGGGCCAGCCATCCATGCTGCTCATGCCTGTAACTCCCTCCATCCATGTGCATGATCCCCCTCTCCCTCTGCCCACCGTCCGTTCGCTTCGTCGGGTCGGCCCAGTCTAAAATGTTTGTGGCCCACCGTACTCCAACTGGCTGCGGGGCCATAGGTGGGGCGGAGTTTTGTAGTCTACAATGACTGAGGGTGAAGTGATGTCACTCAGTGTGTATAAAGTGTGTGTATGGTAGGGGAGGTGCTTTGACCAATTATGATAGGTCACTGAGTGTATGTGTGTGTGTAGTGTATGTGAGAGAAAGAGAGTGTGTGTATGGTAAGGGGGGCTGCTTTGTTGTGGGTAGAGCCACGGCAGTGACATACCACAGCTGCCCATGTGGTAAGGCGGCTAGGCAAGGGGCCACCCCGGGGATTCGCACAACGCTGACTGTCTGTGAGCATAATGGGCTGAGACGTGCCACCACTGCTGCAGCAGCGGACTTTAGCCAGCCAATGACACACCGCAGCCGAGGAGAAAAAAGCCCCCACCCCCAAGCAGTTCCGACAGGTTCATGTAACCACAGGATAAAACGGCCTATACGTGGTAGAAGATAACACAAATCAGCAAGCCATTTTAAATATATTTTCACATCAGTCTCATAACTAACATTACCTCAATTCAGTACCTGAATTAAGCATAGAGAATAACTATTTTAGTGTTATTTACATGATGAGTGAATATCATTCCCAAGATATCACGCAGGGACAATGCATCGCATGAGAGCACTGAGGGATGCTGTGGGTGTAAGGGGTAGGAAAGGGAGGGGAGGCAGAGGCGAGTGGGTAGAGGGAGGACGAGTCACAGCTGCATGGGAAGAGGGCTAGGCAGGGAGCAGACGACGAGGAAGAAGAGAGAGAAGCACCAAGCGCTGAAATGTCATGGAGCATAAAGGGAGAGAGACTGAGAAGCAAGGAGGGAGAAGAGCAGAGAGCAGAGGAGAGAGAGAGGCCGATGGAAATAAGCAGACCAAGCTCAGTCAGATGGTAACATGCAAGACTCACAGGGATACTGATGATAGAGGCATAGAGATAGAGCCATAGGAGAGTAGAGAGATGAATTGCAGATTCCAAGACATGAGGGAATGTACTTAAGACCTGATTGGCAGTTGACTGGGAAGAGAGGAGAGAGAGAGCAGGCAGAGAGGAGAGAGGAGAGCGAGGAGGAGGAGGAGAGGAGAGAAGGCGAGGAATGAGAGGCAGAAAAGGCGAGGGAGAGAGGTAGATGAGGGGAGAGGGCAGAGAGGAGAGAAGGCAGAGGAGAGAGAGGAGTAGGAAAGAGGGAGGAGAAGAAGGCAAGAGAGAAGAGAGGAGAAGAGCAGAGGGAGGAGAGAGAGGCAGACGGGAGGGGAGAGGAGAGGAGAGAGAGAGAGGAACGAGAGGCAAAGAGAGGAGAGCACGAGAGCGAGAGGGAGAGAGAGGCAGAGGGGAGAGAGAGAGAGGCGGAGAGAGAGGCAGAGAAGAGAGAGAGAAGGAGAGAGAGGCAGAGGAGGCAGAGAGAGGCAGAGGAAGACGAGAGGCAGAGAGGCAGAGGAGAGAGAGACGGAGAGGCAGAGAGAGGAGGCATGGCAAGAGAGAGGAGAGAGAGGAGAGGAGAGAGGAGGAGAGAGAGGAGAGAGGCAGGAGGAAGAGGAGGGGAGAGGGAGAGAGAGGCAGGAGGAGAGAGAGAGAGGAGAGGGAGAGAGGAGGCAGAGGAGAGAGAGGAGCAGAGGAGAGAGAGAGGCAGAGGAGGAGAGGAGCAGGAGAGGCAGAGAGAGAGGAGAGGCAGGAGAGAGAGAGAGAGGCAGAGGAGAGGGAGAGGCAGAGGGAGAGGAAAAGAGGGCAGAGGGAGGAGAGAAGGGGAGGAGAGAGCAGAGAGAGAGAGAGGCAGAGGGAACAGAGGAGAGGAGAGGAGGAAGAGAGGACGAGAGGGAGAGGAGAGGCAGAGGGAGAGAGAGAGCAGGAGGAGAGAGAGGGAGGGAGAGAGAGGCAGAGGAGAGAGAGGCAGAGGGAGAGAGAGAGAGGGGGAGAGAGAGGAGAGAGGAGAGGAGAGAGAGCAGAGAGAGGAGAGGAGAGGGCAGAGAGAGAGAGGCAGACGGGAGAGAGAGGCGAGAGAGAGGCAGAGGAGAGGAGAAGAGAGGCAGATCGGGAGAGAGAGGAGGAGAGGGAGAGAGAGAGAGCATTCGGAGAGAGAGAGGGAGAGAGGAGAGCAGACGAGAAGAGGCGCAGAGGGGAGAGGAGAGAAGAGGAGAGAGGGAGGACAGAGAGGCAGAGGGAGGAGAGGAGGGAGAGAGAGAGAGGCAGACAGAGAGGCAGAGGGGAGAGAGAGGCAGAGAGAGAGGCAGAGGGAGAGAGGCAGAGGGAGAGAGAGGCAGAGGGAGAAAGAGGCATTTGGAGAGAGAGAGAGCAGAGGGAGAGAGAGAGGCAGACGGAGAGAGGCAGAGAGGCAGAGGGAGAGAGAGAGAGGCAGAGGGAGAGAGAGGAGAGGCAGAGGGAGAGAGAGGCAGAGGGAGAGAATGGCTGAAAAATGTCTCCATCTGGTGTTATCACACCGTAACTGCAGCAGTACAGTAGAGCAAAGCCCATGCAATGGTACTACATTCAGTCAGGGTTGAGGTCAATTCCCTTTCCATTCACTCAATTCAGGAAGTAAACTGCCCTCATTGAAACATTGACTGAATTGACCCCAAAGTACATACAGTACACATACAAGTCTGGCTCCCCTCTCTCAACCCACAGCAAATATATAGGAAACAAACCAATGAAATTGTTCAGAAAAGGGAATTTATTGAGACGTAAAAAAAAAAAAAAAAAAAGATTAACCCATTCCAGCCTATGTGAAGCGATGTTGGCACTCTCCAGCGTATGTGTGGTGAGCATTCTCCAGTCCAGTGCAGAGCTGAGGGTGTTTGAGGAGAGGTAAAAAAGACCCTAAGGGTTACCGTTCGTTCGCACATCATGTGTTCGCATGGAGGAGAGGTCACTACGGGAGAGCCCATCTGTCTCTCACTGCAGGGGGAAAGACGCACAATAAAAATAACAACAGTAAACAGACAAAGGGGGTAAAAAAAAGGAAAAATCAACACAGCGGTTGGAAGTAAAACAGCTGGAGACGCTCGAGGGGAGCTCAGGTAGCCTGTGTGTGGAGAACACCTAGAACACTGTGGTCCTCTGGGTATAGTCTGCTCTCCTCTCCACTCTCTCTCCTCCAAACGGAATGTCTCTGTGTGATCATGTAATGGCCGACGCCGTCTCTGCGGCTGCTCCTCTCTCCTATACCACAGCATACTGCTGATAGAGCAGCTCACGGATCTTATAGTAGTCATCACACAGACAACCCTCCAGGCCGATGCGCCCTGCCTCCGTCTGTACAGGGGGGATGGCGATATTGACAAGGGTTAGAGGGGTCACACGCATAATCACCGAAAGCTCCCAACAACTGTTTTTTCTCCTTTTACATCCACAAATAGATGTGGAATAGAGATGGAGTGGTGCTGACTTTTGTACGCAGCAGAAATTGTTTGTTTGCACATAGGTTCTAAGTCTTGCCCCTTCAGTCTACAAACTACTTACAACAGAGTAAAATAGATTGTTTAATCCTTTGTGTCATCGTTCCTTCCCCAGAGCATTCTTGTAAATAAATAAGAATTGGTTTTCAATTAAATTAAAGTTAGATAATAGGTACATACATACAGTTGAAGTCAGAAGTTGACATACACCTTAGCCAAATACATTTAAACTCAGTTTTTGACAATTCCTGACATTTAATCCTAGTACAAATTCCCTATCTTAGGTCAGTTAGGATCACCACTTTATTTTAAGAATGTGAAATGTCAGAATAATAGTAGAGAGAATGATTTCTTTCAGCTTTTATTTCTTTCATCACATTCCCAGTGGGTCAGAAGTTAGTATTTGGTGGCATTGCCTTTAAATTGTTTAACTTGGGTCAAACTGACTTCCTGACTGATGTCGCTTCAATATATCCACATATTTTTCCTTCCTCATGATGCCATCTATTTTGTGAAGTTCACCAGTCCCTCCTGCAGCAAAGCAACACAGCATGATGCTGACACCCCCGTGCTTCACGGTTGGGATGGTGTTCTTCAGCTTGCAAGCGTTCCCCTTTTTCCTCCAAACATAACGATGTCATTATGGTCAAACAGTTCTATTTTTGTTTAATCAGACCAGAGGACATTTCTCCAAAAAGTACGATCTTTGTCCCCATCTGCAGTTGCAAACCATAGTCTGACTTTTTTATGGCGGTTTTGGAGAAGTGGCTTCTTCCTTGCTGAGCGGACTTTCAGGTTATGTCGATATAGGACTCGTTTTACTGTGGATATAGATACTTTTGCACCCGTTTCCTCCAGCAGCTTCACAAGGTCCTTTGCTGTTGTTCTGGGATTGATTTGCACTTCTCGCACCAAAGTACGTTCATCTCTAGGAGACAGAACGCGTCTCCTTCCTGAGCTGTATGACGGCTGTGTGGTCCCATGGTGTTTATACTTGCGTACTATTGTTTGTACAGATGAACGTGGTACCTTCAGGCGTTTGGAAATTGCTCCCAATGATGAACCAGACTTGTGGAGGTCTACAATTCTTTTTCTGAGGTCTTGGCTGATTTCTTTTGATTTTCCCATGATGTCAAGCAAAGAGGCACTGAGTTTGAAGGTAGGCCTTGAAATACATCCACAGGTACACCTCCAATTGACTCAAATGATGTAAATTAGCCTATCAGAAGCTTCTAAAGCCATTACATTATTTTCTGGGATTTTCCAAGCTGTTTAAAGGCAGTCAACTTAGCGTATGTAAACTTCCGACCCACTGGAATTGTGATACAGTGAATTATAAGTGAAATAATCTGTCTGTAAACAATTGTTGGAAAAATGACTTGTGTCATGCACAAAGTAGATGTCCTAACCGATTTGCCAAAACTATAGTTTGTTAACAAGACATTTGTGGAGTGGTTGAAAAAAGAGTTTTAATGACTCCAAACTAAGTGTATGTAAACTTCCGACTTCAACTGTATATAATAGGTCTGCAATAGGATGCCATTTTGTATCCCAGCTTTTTGTTGAAAAACATGCCACCCCATGCACCCTTTGGGCCCATTTCCCCTTTCTCATACAGCAGGTCAGGGCTGGTGTTGGCTAATGCTGTCAAAGAGAGCTGAATGAACTGAATGAATGACTGTGGCTGTACTGTGCTGGGGGGAAGGACAGACGGACAGACAACTCACCCTGCGGACGGCCACCATGTTGTTACACACCAGCACTCCTCCCACAAACTCAGCCTGGATGCCCTCCCTCAGCAGCACCTGCTTGAAGTCGGACAGTCGCGGCTCGTTGATGAACACCGACTGGTGGCCTGGGATCTGTGAGTTAGACAGGGTGTGTATTGGTTAGAACCAGAACACATTCTATACAACTGATCTTAGACCAGTTGGACTCTATGGCTGCGTTTACACAGACAGCCCAATGCTGATATTTTTTCCACTAATTGGTCTTTTGTCCAATCAGATGAGCTCTTTTGCCACGGTCATGCCAAAATATCAGAATTGGGCTGCCTGTGTAAACGCAACCTATGTGGATTAGTGGAACCACAACCATACCGTTTCTGTACATCTGAACTCAGATCAGTATGACTCTAAGGACTATGTTTGACTAAGGCTGCATTTACACAGGCAGCCCATTCAGATATTTTGACCATTTATTGGCAAAAGAGCTGATCTGATTGGTCAAAATATGTAATTAGTGAAAAAAAGATAATTGGGCAGCCTGTGTAAATGCAGCCTTTGAGTAACAATTTCAGTTAAACAATTTGAATGCTTGAAAAAGAAAAAGGAGAGCCTCACACTCTAGGAGCTCAGATGCAATAATTTAATAACCAACGTTTCGACAGACAAGCTGTCTTCATCAGGGTATGAACATTCCAAAATCTTACAGTGAAACATCAAAGATCAAATATTTTCTAAGGATTACTGTGGCATTTTAGAGGCAATAATCAAACTGCAAATTACTTTGCTATTCCTACTACATGTAATAGCAGTGGCAGTTTAGAGCCGAAAAAGACACCCATGTTCGCTGCACACTACCTTCTCAGGCTTTTTGCTAACGATAGTGACATTTCGCAACTTCATGGCTAACACAAAACAAATGGAATGTGTTAGCTAACGTTCACAAAGTATATCCCTTATTGAAAACATCTCTGATCTTAGATCAGTTGAACTGAATGGACTCTGTGGAACCACAACCGTACAGTTTATATATTGGTAAATCTGACTTCAGATCAGTTGGACTCTCTGTGGATTAGTTCAGGGCTCTAGACAAACTTTTTCCACTTTTTCAGTTGATGGCACCAGCACATGATTTGATCGCACCAATTTTTCATGGCTGCGTGGCAGAATGACCTGACTTGCGTCCCATAATGAACCTGCATTTCATATAGAACCAGGCTAATAATGACTAGCCATCTTTTAAATTAACATGACATTCAGGTACACTACATGATCAAATGTATGTGGACACCTGCTCATCGAACATTTCATTTAGAAATCATGGGCATTAATATGGAGTTGGTCCACCCTTTGCTGCTATAACAGCCTCCACGCTCCTGGGAAGGCTATTCACTAAATGTTGGAACATCGCTGCGGGGACTTGCTTCCATTCAGCCACAAGAGCATTAGTGAGGTCGGGCACTGATGTTGTGCGATTAGGCCTGGCTCGCAGTCGGCGTTCCAATTCATCCGAAAGGTGTTCGATTGGGTTGAGGTCAGGGCTCTGTGCAGGCCAGTCAAGTTCTTCCACACCGATCTCGACAAACCATTGCTGTATGGACCTCGCTTTGTGCACAGAGGCATTGTCATGCTGAAATAGGAAAGGGCCTTCCCCAAACGGTTGCCATAAAGTTGCAAGCACATAATCGTCTAGAACAGGCCTGGGCAACTCCAGTTCTCGGGGGCCTGATTGGTGTCACACTTTTGCCCCATCCCTAGCAAACACAGCTGATTTAAACTAACTGCATTTTTAACTGAAGATCATGATTAGTTGATTATTGGAGTCAGGTGTGTTAGCTGGGGCTGGGGCAAAAGTGTGACACCAATCAGGCCCCCGAGGACTGGAATTACCCAGGCCTGGTCTAGAATGTCATTGTATGCTGTAGCATTAAGATTTCCCTTCACTGGAACTAAGGAGCCTAGCCCAAACCATAAAAAACAGCCCCAGACCATTATTCCTCCTCCACCAAACTTTACTGTTGGTACTATGCATTGGGGCAGGTAGCGTTCTCCTGGCATCCGCCAAACTCAGATTTGTCCGTCGGACTGCCAGATGGTAAAGCGTGATATATCACTCCAGAGAACGCACTTCCACTGCTCCAGAGTCCAATGGTGGCGAGCTTTACACCCCTCCAGCCGACGCTTGGCATTGCGCATCTTGCGATCTTAGGCTTGTGTGCGGCTGCTCGGCTATGGAAACCCGTTTCATGAAGCTCCCAACAAACAGTTATTGTGCTGACGTTGTTTCCAGAGGCAGTTTGGAACTCGGTAGAGAGTGTTGCAACCGAGGACAGACGATTTTACATGCTACATGCTTCAGCACTTGGTGGTCCCGTTCTGTGAGCTTGTGTGGCCTACCACTTCGCGCCTGAGCCGTTGCTTGATTTTATACACCTGTCAGCAACGGGTGTGGCTGGAATAGCCAAATCCACTCATTTGAATGGGTGTCCACATACTTTTGTATATATAGTGTACATTGTTGTTAGGAGGGGAAAAAATAAAACCTTTATGCAATCTCAAAAAGGGTGTTATTGGTAGCGATTCTTAACAGTCACTCTACAGTTGTAGGGCCCTATAAAATCTGTTTTATCTTTTGGAAAATTCTGTTTTCCCGGTTTTATGATCCAGGTTTCCGAGTTAGTTTTTCAGGATTTTACTCTCAAAATCACACTTTTTGTTAATAGAAAAAAAATACAAAAATGTGATGTTCCAAGTCCACAACAATGCTTGAACCACATCAGCAGACCACTTTAGAGGTCTGGGAACAATAAAAAACAAACAATTTGTTTTGCCCTTTAATTCAATTCCACGCCTAGTAAGAGACTGTTGTATTTGGCTAGCTGTGTTTTTGTACTGTAGGTTACAATGTACAGTGTAGGCTACATGTGATGGCAGAGTTTGCAAAACAAATGCCCTGTGATTGATACAAATCATCATTAAATTATTCTGCCAGGTAGGCCTACTTTGCAGTCAACATTTAATTGGGAACATTTAATTGATGACCGAATTGCACATCGCAAAGATTCAACCAAGACTTTGGACCAAACTTTTTGAATACCTGGTTTGCATACACATTGATTGCTGTTTGAATAAATTATGATAATAAATATTTTTAAAGGAAATTGTGAACCAAAAACTGACGGGACCAGCGAAATCTTTTTTCACTGGCACCCTAGCGATCAATAAACAATTGGTGTCGCACTGCCAAATCAAAGGGTCGCAAATGCAAGTGTTTTGGCCGCCGTTTGGAGCCCTGTAGTGCAACTACAACTTCATAGCTTCTTTACAGCTGATCTCAGATCAGCTTGACTCTGACTGTGGACTCTGTGGAACCATAACCATATTTTCTAGGGCTGGGAATTGCCAGGGACCTCACGATCCAATATTATCACGATACTTCGGTGCCGATACGATATGTATTGTGATTCTCACGATTCTATATGTATTGCGATTTCATGTTCCAAACATATTGCTCACTATACAGTGGGGAAAAAAAGTATTTAGTCAGCCACCAATTGTGCAAGTTCTCCCACTTAAAAAGATGAGAGAGGCCTGTAATTTTCATCATAGGTACACGTCAACTATGACAGACAAAATGAGAGAAAAAATTCCAGAAAATCACATTGTAGGATTTTTAATGAATTTATTTGCAAATTATGGTGGAAAATAAGTATTTGGTCACCTACAAACAAGCAAGATTTCTGGCTCTCACAGACCTGTAACTTCTTCTTTAAGAGGCTCCTCTGTCCTCCACTCGTTACCTGTATTAATGGCACCTGTTTGAACATGTTATCAGTATAAAAGACACCTGTCCACAACCTCAAACAGTCACACTCCAAACTCCACTATGGCCAAGACCAAAGAGCTGTCAAAGGACACCAGAAACAAAATTGTAGACCTGCACCAGGCTGGGAAGACTGAATCTGCAATAGGTAAGCAGCTTGGTTTGAAGAAATCAACTATGGGAGCAATTATTAGGAAATGGAAGACATACAAGACCACTGATAATGTCCCTTGATCTGGGGCTCCACGCAAGATCTCACCCCGTGGGGTCAAAATGAACACAAGAATGGTGAGCAAAAATCCCAAAACCACACGGGGGGACCTAGTGAATGACCTGCAGAGAGCTGGGACCAAAGTAACAAAGCCTACCATCAGTAACACACTACGCCGCCAGGGACTCAAATCCTGCAGTGCCAGACGTGTCCCCCTGCTTAAGCCAGTACATGTCCAGGCCCGTCTGAAGTTTGCTAGAGTGCATTTGGATGATCCAGAAGAGGATTGGGAGAATGTCATATGGTCAGATGAAACCAAAATATAACTTTTTGGTAAAAACTCAACTCGTCGTGTTTGGAGGACAAAGAATGCTGAGTTGCATCCAAAGAACACCATACCTACTGTGAAGCATGGGGGTGGAAACATCATGCTTTGGGGCTGTTTTTCTGCAAAGGGACCAGGACGACTGATCCGTGTAAAGGAAAGAATGAATGGGGCCATGTATCGTGAGATTTTTAGTGAAAACCTCCTTCCATCAGCAAGGGCATTGAAGATGAAACGTGGCTGGGTCTTTCAGTATGACAATGATCCCAAACACACCGCCCGGGCAACGAAGGAGTGGCTTCGTAAGAAGCATTTCAAGGTCCTGGAGTGGCCTAGCCAGATCTCAACTCCATAGAAAATATTTGGAGGGAGTTGAAAGTCCATGTTGCCCAGCGACAGCCCCAAAACATCACTGCTCTAGAGGAGATCTGCATGGAGGAATGGGCCAAAATACCAGCAACAGTGTGTGAAAACCTTGTGAAGACTTACAGAAAACGTTTGACCTGTGTCATTGCCAACAAAGGGTATATAACAAAGTATTGACAAACTTTTGTCATTGACCAAATACTTATTTTCCACCATAATTTGCAAATAAATTCATTAAAAATCCTACAATGTGATTTTCTGGATTTCTTTTTCTCATTTTGTCTGTCATAGTTGACGTGTACCTATGATGAAAATTACAGGCCTCTCTCATCTTTTTAAGTGGGAGAACTTGCACAATTGGTGGCTGACTAAATACTTTCTTTCCCCACTGTATGTCTGCTGCAGAGACAAGATAGCATGAGAAAATGAGTTTTGATCAGTCATGGAACCAAAAGTGCTGAAAACATGTTGGCTCACTATTTAAAAAGAAGATGGAGAACAAGCTATTGGATGAAAAATACCAGAGTTTTGGCGCAGGTACAGCCGACTAGCGCTACCTAGCTAACGCTATCTAGCTAAATAAAATAGATTCTATTTTTTATACAAATCGATACTTGGGAGTCAAATATCGATATCATATCATCCAAAAATAATATTGCGATATGTAACTATCGATATTTCCCCCCATTACTAATATTTTCTATACATCTGATCTCAGATCAGTTGAACTCGGTGCACTCCCTTCTCTCTCTTGCTAAATTAACCACAGGCTAGCTTTCTTCCTGTGCATTCTACTGCTCTTTGGGTCTATTGTCATATCGGCACTCCTCGATCTGTCTCCGCCTTTATGTCCCAACAAGGTCAACCCATCATTTCCCTCTCTGAATAAAAAACGGTCCTGGGATCAACTCTCTTGTCTCCCTCTCCCTTGGGGTCAGCTCTCTCCCATCCTCTTCTACTGAGGACAAAGCCACCTCTTTTTGCACTCTTCCCATCACCTCTCTCCCTTTGGCTGGACTAAGGGATTATAGCCAACCCTCCCCTCTTCTCTACCCTCCTCTCTGTCTATCCACAGTATCTCTCTAAGGTACTTCTCTTCCTCTCTCATCTCCTCTTCCCCTCTATCTCTCACCTGGTGGGCGGGCAGGGGCTCCAGGGTGGGGATGACATCACTCTCCTCCGACGGCTCGCGCACGTCCTCGCCAAACAGCGTCTTCATGGCGCGCTGCTGCGCCACCACGCTATGGTCTGTGGCACCGTCGTCAGCAGGGGTCACTTCCATGTCCAGCTCACCATCCTCCGCGGCCTCCTCGCCGGCTCCCTTTTCGCCCTTCACCACGCCCTCCTCGGGCAGCACACCTGTGTCCACCTTGACCACGCGCATGTCCAGCACGCCGTCGATCCACGCCAGCTCCGTATCCTTGGCGCGACAAAACTGCAGCGAGCTCACCAGCGAGTCTTTCAACCGCACCTGGGGAGGAAGAATACAATATTTTATGTATATATATAGTATAAGTGCTTAAGCTTAACATTAAAATGTTTCTGTACACAAGCAAACTGCTTAACTGGGTCCCATGTAGCTCAGTTGGTAGATCATGGTGCTTGTAATGCCAAGATAGTGGGTTCGATTCCCGGGACCACCTGTACGTAATATTTATGCACGCATGACTAACTCGCTTTTGGATAAAAGCGTCTGCTAAATGGCATATATTATAATAATATTATTATAAACCTTATACACAATTGACCCATTGTCATGTTCAGAATTCTAAGATGGCTTGACCTGGGTTAGATTAGTTACAGTTACTAAAGCACATCAACTTTCTGATTGGTGAATTGTGATAACACAAAATTCTATGTCAATTGGTCAATTATTCACAATCATACAGGGCATCTGTCCCAAAATATCTTGAATTACCATGGCATTTTGTATAAAATCCTAACCCCTGACTGACCTGGTAGATGTGTGTCTCACTGGTGGCGTCCACAGTCTCCTGCAGCTTCGGCGTGTAGACCTTGATGTCCTTGGTGAAGGCCTTGCAGGACTCGGCCAGGTCCAGGCTGGCCTCGGGAGGGCCGTGCACGATCACCAGCTGCCGCGGCTTCATCTGGTTGATGATCTTCTTGATAGAGTCGCCGTCCGAACGCCCCTCGTAGTCGATGTACGTCACCCTGGCTCTGCACAGAATGATCAGATAAGAATGTATCATTTCCATATATTTGAAATATGCATTATTAGGATAAAGTGATTTTAAATGTGATGTAAAAAAAATACTATCAGTGGTATTCAACCGGCGGTCCGCAGAGATACTGTAAGGAGTCCGCGAAAATTATAATTTATATAAAACATGTTTTATTTCAATGTTTTTATTAATATCGCTAGGAACAGTAGAATAAACACATTTTGAATGACGTACCTACAGTAGAAAAGAGGAGAATGTTCTTTCTAATGATGCCAACTTTATCTCTTAACTCATAATATTGAGCAACTTACACTCACTGGAGTATCTGGCATAGGCTTTGAAAAAGCACCCGTGAACAGGCTACAAGTGCCGTGCCACTGGCTGCTGGTAAGCTTTCTTGACTTGGACATACATTTTTGCCAAAACATGGCTAACCTTTCTTTAACCAGCTACTCTTAGCAAAAAATTTGTTTGAGTTACCTTTCTAGCTAATACTTCCTATTCCAATTATGTGGGGAGATCAAAATAATGAAAAATGATCTACCAAAGCTATTCATTTAAAAAAAAGTTGATTACTTTTTCATGCCATTAACATTCACCTGATGACAAGACATTTATTTTTCTTGCTAACGTATGATGGGGGTCCCTGGGTCGCCGGTTTGCCTGAGAGGGGGTCCTTGACACTCTACTCAGCAAATTGGATGTAGTCTATCACAGTGCCATCCATTTTGTCACCAAAGCCCCATATACTACCCACCACTGTGACCTGTACGCTCTTGTTGGTTGGTCCTCACTACATATTCGTCGCCAAACCCACTGGCTCCAGGTCATCTATAAATCACTGCTAGGCAAATCCCCGCCTTATCTTAGCTCATTGGTCACCATAGCAACACCCACCCGTAGTATGCGCTCCAGCAGGTATATCTCACTGGTCATCCCCAAAGCCAACACCTCCTTTGGCCGCCATTCCTTCCAGTTCTCTGCTGCCAATGACTGGAACGAACTGCAAAAATCTCTGAAGCTGGAGACTCTTATCTCCCTCACTAACTTTAAGCATCAGTTGTCAGAGCAGCTTACCGATCACTGCACCTGTACACAGCCTATCTGAAATTAGCCCACCCAACTACCTCATCCCCATATTGTTATTTATTTTTCTCATTTGCACCCCAGTATGTCTATTTGCACATCATCTCTTGCACATCTATCATTCCAGTGTTAATACTAAATTGTAATTATTTTGCACTATGGCCTATTTATTGCCTTACCTCCATAACTTACTACATTCGCACACACTGTATATATATTTTCTGTTGTATTTTTGACTTTGTGTTTTGTTTATTCCATATGTAACTCTGTGTTGTTGTTTTGTAATCGCACTGCTTTGCTTTATCTTGGCCAGGTCGCAGTTGTAAATGAGAACTTGTTCTCAACTGGCTTACCTGGTTAAATAAAATAAATAAATAAAAAATCATATTAGAGAAAAAGAATAAGGCGCTTTTAATATTCTTTGCAAATTAAAATATATTTTTAGTCTTGGCATGTCCACAAGGATCATTAAAATCCCAAACGTACACGTTTCAGCACTATGTCTTCCTTGTAAATCATTAGAATATAAATATGAGTCATATTGATTTTTGCAATGAGGCTCTCTGAAGAAGTCTGCTTTAAATTTAGGTGGGTAGGCCCACTTACTTGATCTCTAGGTTCTCTGTAGTGGAGGTACACTTGGTGGGTACTTTGGATGAGGAATCTTGGTCCATGGGTTCGTCTCCTTTGGCCATGCCTGACTCCAGCTTGTTCTTCTCCTCCTCTGTGGCCTGGAGCTCTGGTACCAGGAAGTCCTCCGGTCTGGAGACAGTCATATTCATTAATACATCATTTTGTGAAGTTAGCTCCGCTTCAACAAAAAATCCAATGCATAGGTCATTATTCAAAGGGATCTCATGTTTCGATTTCTAGGTTCTAGTGAGGTAAAAGTCAGTGTGTGCAGAGCATGTTTACACTTCTGTGCCGACAGAACTGTACTGGCGCTGATATTTCCCTTTCACATCGTCTTGTCCAGCACGGTTCCAGCATCTATGGTTGATGCATAACCAGGTCAGCACAGCTCAGTTTGGATCAGTGCCTTAGTGTGAAAAGGGTAATAGTGAACTGACTACGGTACCTGATGATCTCTCCGTACTCGTCCCATTTGACCCTCTCCTCGTGGGTTGGGAACATGGGGTAGGACTTCTTGGCTTGTTTGAAGAAGCTGCCTTTGCGGACGCCGTCTCCCTTCATCATCAGGTCGTGGTGTTTGGTCTTTACTACCGCTGGCAGCTCCAGGTCATCCTCCATGTCGCTCTCGTCACTGGAGTCCACATCCACCCTGAGAGACACAAATATATTAGACTCACACAATCTCGCTGTCTTTCTTCAACTCAAAGACAAAACATCTTCATTCCCGGAGACCAACTTTATGAATCTGTGCACATGCGCGCAACACACACAGAACGATACCCACCTCTGGGAATATTATTCACACAGTGCCCAAATATTGTAAATAAGCTGAGGCCCAAAACACAGAAACAGTGTCAGTGACTCACTCTTTTTCTTGTTCAAGTTTTTTGGCAGCTTCCTTCTTCATTCTCTCTTTCTCCAGGTATTCTTCCAGCTCCCTGCCTTCCAGCTTCACCCGTTTTCTAATCTGTCAACATGACAAGAAAATGAAATGACAAAAATAAATAAGGGAGAGGAACAGCGCGAACGCCAGTGACACATCAAGCTGTTCCACGCTTGAGTTGAGACGGAAACAGAGACAGAAAGAGCCCTAGGGACACGCTGCACCAAAATAAATACATCCAAAACGCTATCACTCTGTGCCAAAATGGCCGCACGGCTGCTCTTCTGCCCCCTACAGCCTTCTCCTATAGCAGGGGCCTCCTATTTTTTGGGCCCCCCAAAGCCCCCCATATTAATTATGCATAAAATGTTGTTTTTAAGTATCGGGTCCAAATGTAATGTCCCAAGAAGAAGTTACCCCACCAAAATAATGCAAAAGTTACATTTTAACTTCAGTTCATGAGGAGAGAGAGACAGTGAACTAATAAGGCAAGCGTGCTTTGTGCTGAAGTGTGGTACGGTATACCGGTACCACGGTAATATCACGGTACCAAAACCTCATGATACTAGTACAGTTTCAAATGATACTACCAACTTTTTCCGCCCTACCGATATAAAGAACCTGCTGGCGCCTGTTATAAAATGTTTATACATTTAGTTTGGTTTATAAATTCGGTTGAATTTAAGCAACAGCCACTAGTCTCTAGTCCAATAATATCCACTTCCCTTTCAAGCGCATATCACCTGTGTCAGCTGTAATCAGCCAGCCGCATCCTTCTCTCTGTCTGCTCTTTGCGCGCATCTATTCCTCCGTCAGTTTATTTAAATATAATTGAACCGTGATGGCGAGCGGGGATGCAGACCCAGACCCTGATGAGTCTTCTGTTGTTAGAATTGTACATTTGTTACATTGGATTAGTGCGCAAAGTGAGCAATGCTGACACATTGTATCATTTCATCACCTGTTATAACAAAGAGCACAGACCAGTCTGAGTAGAGTTTGCAAGTTCACTGCCTCAGTGTCAGGGAGGGGAAATGGAGCACCGCAACAAGAATGTTTGCAGCTTTACAGCAAAGAAAACGGCTTGTCTCTAGCCTATACGGTTAAAAATGATTACCCATATTATCGAGATTCGCACGCATTTTATATAACTTCAGAAACCATGTCGCGGGCCGTTTTAAACTAATCCCGGGTCGCTAACTATTGGTTTGATAACAAACAACGTTGTTCAGTCACGTTACCTAGCTAGCTAACAACCTGGTAACTTGACAGAAGGTTTATGTAAATTTGATTGGCACAGGAAGAAAGGAAAAAGGTGCGGCTACTCATGAGAAGTGCTTCAAAGGTAGGATTCATATAGGCCTAATGAAAGACTAAACTATATCAAACATTATGTATTTCTGGTGCTCCTTACATTCTGTTTGGTGCCTAACGTTTTAAAAGTTGGGAGAAGTGTGTGTGTGTGTGGAAGGGAGGGAGAGAGGAGAGAGAGTGTGTGTGTGGAAGGGAGAGAGAGAGAGTGTGTGTGTGGAAGGGAGGGAGAGAGTGTGTATGTGTGGAAGGAGGGAGAGAGAGTGTTGTGGTGAAGGAGTGGAGGAGTGTGTGGTGTGTGTGGAAGGGAAGAGAGGTGTGTGGAGGGAGGAGAGAGTGTTGTGTGAAGAGAGGGAGAGAGTGTGTGTGGAAGGGAGGGAGAGTGTGTGTGGAAGGGAGGGAGAGAGTGTGTGTGGAAGGGAGGGAGAGAGTGTGTGTGGAAGGAGGGAGAGAGTGTGTGTGTGGAATGTGGAGGGAGGGAGAGAGGTGTGTGTGTGGAAGGGAGGAGAGGTGTGTGTGAGAGGGAGAGGAGTTGTGTGTGGGGAAGGGGTGGAGAGTGTGGAGAGGAGAGAGTGTGTGTGGAAGGGAGAGGAGGAGAGTGTGTGTGGTGAAGGGAGGTGAGAGTGTGTGTGAAGGGTGGGTGTGTGTGAAGGGTGGGAGGGTGTGTGATGAGTGTGTGGAAGGAGGGGAGGAGTGTGTGTGGAAGGGGGTGGGAGAGTGTGTGTGTGGTGTGGTGGGAAGGGGGTGGTGTGAGGGAGGAGGTGTGTGTGGAAGGAGGGAGAGAGTGTGTGTGGAAGGGAGGGAGAGAGTGTGTGTGGAAGGGAGGGAGAGAGAGTGTGTGTGGAAGGGAGGGAGAGAGTGTGTGTGGGAAGGGAGGGAGAGAGTGTGTGGAAGGGAGGGAGAGAGTGTGTGTGGTGTGTGTGGAAGGGAGGGAGAGAGTGTACATCCATCCGACCTCACAACCGCAGACCACGTGTTTGGGAACATTGTGAACAGAGTGCCCCATGGTGGCGGTGGGGTAATGGTATGGGCAGACATAAGCTACGGACAACGAACACAATTGCATTTTATCAATGGCAATTTTAATGCACAGAGATACTGTGATGAGATCCTGAGGCCCATTGTTGTGCCATTCATCCGCTGCCATCACCTCATGGTTCAGCATGATAAAGCACGGCCCCATGTCGCAAGGATCTGTACACAATTTCTGGAAGCTGAAAATGTCCCCGTTTTTCAATGGCCTGCATACTCACCAGACATATTACCCATTGAGCATGTTTGGGATGCTCTGGATCGACGTGTACAACAGCGTGTTCCAGCTCCCGCCAATATACAGCAACTTCGCACAGCCATTGAAGAGGAGCAGGCCACAATAAACAGCCTGATCAACTCTATGCGAAGAAGATGTGTCGCGCTGCATGAGGTAAATGGTGGTCACACCAGATACTGCCTGGTTTTCTGATCCACGCCTACTTTTCTTTAAGGTATCTGTGACCAACAGATGCATATCTGTATTCCCAGTCATGTGAAATCCATAGATTAGGCTTAATGAATTTATTTCATTTGACGGATTTCCTTATATGAACTGTAACTCAGTAAAATCTTTGAAATTGTTGCATGTTGCGTTTATGTGTTAAAGGCCCAGTGCAGTCAAAAGTGTGATTGTCCTGTGCTTTATATATATATTTCTACACTATGAGGTTGGAATAATACTGTGAAATTGTGAAAATAATGATAATGCCCTTTTAGTGTAAGAGCCGTTTCAAACTTTCTGCCCGTTTTGGTGGGATGGAGTTTTGGCCTTCAATGGTGACATCACCAAGCGGCAAATTAGTTAATAGACCAAGAAGAGAGTTCCAAACCTCTCTGCCAATAACAGCTAATTTTCAGTCTTCACCTCCACACTCAGACCACTCCTAGCAAAATTCTTGCTTGAGAAATTGCCCTTTGCTAAGAAACTATTTTTGTTTTTGTTTGACCATTTTAATTGAAAACAATCTAAGTAAGGTACTGAAATTATTTGATATTGAGATTAAAATGGCTGCATTGGACCAATGGTGTTACATTTGTAGTGTAGGCCTATGAATTGGGCTGCTATTATGCTAATTATGTTCTGGCCTGCAACCACTAGCTCAGAAAAATTGTCCCGAAGCCAAACCTAGTTGCCGACCTCTGTCCTAGTCTCACCTCCAGGTCCAGCATCTTCTCCCCGGGGTTATCGATGAGGTAGCGGCCCAGGGTGCCGGGCGTGGTGCGGTAGGTGAGGATCACTGAGTTCTTGGCCTCCTGGCACCACTGGATGAAGAGCTCGCGGGAGAAGCCAGACTCCAGGTCGGGCTGGCTGCAGAGCACCACCTTGGGGCTGGGCACCCGGGCCAGGTCGGCCAGGCTGTGGCATAGGGACAGGTGGCGGAACTGGAAGGGGTTGTTGCGCTTGTCCTCGAAGCAGCGCATCAGCTTGTCACTCATCCACTCCACCTGTAGGGGAGAATATAACAGTCAGAATCACGACTATTGTTACCATGCCTATTACAATGACAGGATAACCACACAATATTAGCAGGACATGCGCCGTTTGTAACAACAACATTGTGAGAAATATGAATTCCATGCCACAAAATGCTATCGTTTTAATATTTTTCACAAAATGTATGACTGATCAGTGAGCACTATTGAAAAGTGAACATTAGCACACATTTGATCACATTTCCTCATAGTGAGTGAGCTAGAGACATGTATCTGCTACAGACCTGGGTTCAGATACTATTTGAGATCTTTCAAATACTTTAGCTCTGCTTCATTGAGCTTGCATGGTGCAACTGAACCAATGGAATAGTCCCAAAAGAGCAAATCCCACCCATCTGGCACTGCAGGAAGGCAGAAACAAACAAAGTATTTTGAAGATTGTCTTGTACTGGGTGACCATGTAATGAAAGGGTGTGTGTGTGGCCGAGACCTGAGATTTGGAGAACTCCACCACGTTGTAGCTGACGTTGTTGAGCAAGGCCAGAGAGTAGACCCCGAGCCCAGCGTCCTTCGTCCTCCAGATTTGGTCCAGCAGCTGAGCCAGCTCCAACACACGGCCCGCCGTATCCACGGCAATCAGCACGTTGCCATCGCCGCGTAGCGTCTCCATCACATTGGCTAAAGGGGGTAATGATTGGCGAATCAGAAAATGTTTTCATATTTAACTAATAGGTATTACTGTAGCCTGGGCCCAGATATGTTTGTGCTGTCTAGCCAACTCCCATGGCCATGACGTGACAGTGACTACAGGAGTTGGCAAGACAGCATAAACACATTTGTGATCAGGATAGCATTACTGCACACGATTGAGAGTTGATTAACTTACTTAGAAGCTGCTCGTCCCTTTGTTTGCGACGTGGCTGCACGTATGTAGCGTTAAAGGAGTCTGTGATGAGCAGAGAGGGACGACTCACCGACTCCAATGTACACCCATTCAGATGGCTGGAGGAAAGATTTACAATACGTCAAATAGGCGACAAGTGTTGAGGCGTGGCCTGGGTGGTCTAGCGGTCAGTGCCGCCGCCTACAGCATGCCACTGTTGGAGTGGGTTCGAAACTGGCCTACTGCCTTCGTAACATATATCATCTTGCCCACTGTCTCTCCTCTATCCGATAGAAAATACAAAATATATAAGGGAAAAAAAGGTGACGAGGTAACAGACAAACTAGTAAAAAAAAAAAAAAACGACTATATATTAAAGTGTGGACACCCCTTCAAAATAGTGGATTCGGCTCTTTCAGCCACACCCGTTGCTGACAGGTGTGTAAACTCGAGCACGCAGCCATGCAATCTCCATAGACAAACATTGGCAGTAGAATGGCCTTACTGAAGAGCTCAGTGAAGTTCAACGTGGCACTGTCATAGGATGCCACCTTTCCAACAAGTCAGTTCGTCAAATTTCTGCCCTGCTAGAGCTGCCCCAGTCAACTGTAAGTGCTGTTAATGTGAAGTGGAAATGTCTCGGAGCAACAACGGCTCAGCCGCAAAATCGTTGGCCACACAACCACGTAAAAATCATCTGTCCTCGGTTGGGTGATTTAAATATTGACTGGCATTCATCAAGCTGCCCACTCAAGAAAAAGCTTAAAACTGTAACCTGTGCCTGCAACCTGGTTCAGGTTATCAGTCAACTTACCACAGTAGTTACAATCAGCACAGGAATTAAAAACATCAACATGTATTGATCACATCTATACTAATGCTGCAGAAATGTGCTTGAAAGCAGTATCCAGATCCATCGGATGTAGTGATCACAATATAGTAGCCATATCTAGGAAAACCAAAGTTCCAAAGGCTGGGCCAAATATAGTGTATAAGAGGTCATACAATAGGTTTTGTAGTGATTCCTATGTTGTTGATGTAAAGAATATTTGTTGGTCCGTGGTGTGTAATGAGGAGCAAACAGACGCTGCACTTGACACATTTATGAAATTACTTATTCCAGTTATTAATAAGCATGCACCCATTAAGAAAATGACTAAAAACTGTTAAATCCCTGTGGATTGATGAGGAATTGAAAAATGGTATGGTTGAGAGGGATGAGGCAAAAGGAATGGTAGAGCATGGCGCTTGCAATGCCAGGGTTGTGGGTTCATTTCCCACGGGGGGCAAGTATGAAAAATGTATGCACTCACTAACTGTAAGTCGCTCTGGATAAGAGCGTCTGCTAAATGACTAAAATGTAAAAATAAGTCCGGCTGCACACCCGATTGGCAAACGTATTGCAAATTTGAGAAATCATGTGACTAAACTGAATAAAAAGAAGAAGAAACTACACTATGAAACAAAGATAAATGACATAAAGAATGATAGTAAAAAGCTTTGGAGCAAACTCATTCATTGAATCAGATGGCTCATTCATCACAAAACCGACTGATATTGCCAACTACTTTAATTACTTTTTCATTGGCAAGATTAGCAAATTTAGGCCTGACATGCCAGCAACAAATGCTGACACTACACATCCAAGTACATCTGACCAAATTATTAAAGACAAGCATTGTAATTTTGAATTCCGTAAAGTGAGTGTGGAAGAGGTTATTGGCGTCTATCAACAATGACAAGCCACCGGGGTCTGACAACTTGGATGGAAAATTACTGAGGATTATAGTGGATGATATTGCCACTTCTATTTGCCATATTTTCAATTTAAGTCTACTAGAAAGTGTGTGCGTCCAGGCCTGGAGGGAAGCAAAAGTCATTCCGCTACCTAAGAATAGCAAAGCCCCCTTTACTGGCTCAAATAGCCGACCAATCAGCCTGTTACCAACCCTTAGTAAACTTTTGGAAAAAATTGTGTTCGACCAAACAAATTGACAACAGACTTTCAGCACACTTATAGGGAAGAACATTTAACAAGCACAGCACTTACACGAATGACTGATGATTGGCTGAGAGAAATTGTTGATAAAAAGATTGTGGGGGCTGTTTTGTTAGATTTCAGTGTGGCTTTTGACATTATCGATCAGTCTGCTGCTGGAAAAACGTATGTGTTTTGGCTTTACAACCCCTGCTATATTGTGGATAAAGAGTTACCTGTCTAACAAAACACAGAGGGTGTTCTTTAATGGAAGCCTTTCCAACATAATCCAGGTAGAATAAGGAATTCCCCAGGGCAGCGGCCCCTTACTTTTTTCAATCTTTACAAACGATATGCCACTGGCTTTGAGTAAAGCGGATGACTCAACACTATACACGTCAGCTACTACAGCGACTTAAATGACTGCAACACTTAACAAAGAGCTGCAGTTAGTTTCAGAGTGGGTGGCAAGGAATAAATTAGTCCTAAATATTTCTAAAACTAAAAGCATTGTATTTGGGACAAATCATTCACTAAACCTCAACTAAATATTGTAATAAATAATGTGGAAATTGAGCAAGTTGAGGTGACTAAACTGCTTGTGTACCCTGGATTTTAACCTGTCATGGTCAAAACATATTGATACAACAGTAGCTAAGACGGAGAGAAGTCTGTCCATAATAAAGCACTGCTCTACCTTCTTAACAGCACTATCAACAAGGCAGGTCCTACAAGCCCTAGTTGTCGCACCTGGACTACTGTTCAGTCGTGTGGTCAGGTGCCACAAAAATGGACTTAGGAAAATTGCAATTGGCTCAGAACAGGGCAGCACGGCTGGCCCTTGGATGTACAAAGCGCTAACATTAATAATATGCATGTCAATCTCTCCTGGCACTAAGTGGAGGAGAGACTGACTTCATTACTACTTGTATTTATGAGAGGTATTGACATGTTGAATGCACCGAGCTTCATAATAAATACAAACACAAACACTCACTGCCGAGTTCCAAACTGCCTCTGGAACCAACGTCAGCACAAGAACTGTTTGTCAGGAGCTTCATGAAATGGGTTTCCATGGCTGCGCAGCCGCAGACAAGCCATGATGCACAATGCCAAGCGTCGGCTGGAGTGGTGTAAAGCTAGCCGCCATGTGACTCTGGAGCAGTGGAAATGCGTTCTCTGGAGTGATGAATCACGCTTCACCATCTGGCAGTCCGACAGACTAATCTGGGTTTAGCGGATACCAGGAGAATGCTACCTGCCCCAATGCATAGTACCAACAGTAAAGTTTGGTGGAGGAGGAATAATGATCTGGGGCTGTTTTTCATGGTTCGGGCTAGGCCCCTTCGTTCCAGTGAAGGGAAATCTTAACGCTACAGCATACAACGATATTCTAGACGATTCTGTGCTTCAAACAGTTTCTGTGCTTCCAACAGTTTGCGGAAGGCCCTTTCCTGTTTCAGCATGACAATGCCCCCGTGCACAAAGTCAGGTCCATACAGAAATGGTTTGTCGAGATCGGTGTGAAAGAACTTGACTGCAGAGCCCTGACCTCAACCTCATGAACATCTTTGGGATGAATTGGAACGCTGACTGCAAGCCAGGCTTAATTGCCCAACATCAGTGCCTGACCTCACAATTGCTTGTGGCTGAATAGAAGCAAGTCCCAGCAGCAATGTTCCAACATCTAGTGGAAAGCCTTTCCAGAAGAGTGGAGGCTGTTACAGCAGCAAAGGGGGGACCAATTCCATATTAATGCCCATGATTTTAGAATGCGATGTTCGATGAGCAGGTGTCCACATACCTTTGGTAATGTACTGTACCTTGAAGGTTCAGCAGCTAAATAAACATGCTCTGCTCTATCCAGTCTCTACTCACATCTCTCGCTTGTGGTTGAAGTCCACCGCGTAAACAATCTCCTCCTCCCCATCCTTCACGATCTTCCAGATTGTCCCTCCAATCATGTGACCAGCAGGAAGTGGAGTGATGGACAGACCATGTCCTTTCCCTGTCCAGAAAAGTAGAAAGGTTGATTGAACCAGTGTTTCAGCTTGAACAAAGAGATTACTCAATAGAAATTATATCATCATCATTCAATCATTATTTAAGACTGATACATGGTTTACTGACCTTTCAGATTTACAATCTGGGAGTACTTCAACTGCTGGATTTTATCGAAAGCGCAGTCCACATCATCCAGGGTGAACAGGTTGAAGTCCTCAGTGTTGTTGCGCGACTACCAAAACAACAGATCACAATAGTGAGAATAGTTTTACAGTGCATGGTCACCTCTTGTTCAATAGGGTGTTGGACATCACCCACATCCCCTAGCCTGGTCCCAGATCTGTTTGTGCTGTCCTGCTGAGTTGGCAAGACAGCACAAACAGATCTGGAACCAGGTTAACATGCTCCTGCCCTTACCTGATACAGGTCATACATGAACATCTGACCCATCTTGTAGACGGGGATGGTGGCGTAGATGGGGCAGTTGAGGCCCAGCTTGCCCACGGCGTAGGGCAGAGCCCCCAGGTGCAAGGGGTCGGGATGAGAGAGGAGCACTGCATCAACCTGGTGGACATACCTATTGATAAGAGAAGGAATGGCCCGTAAGAGATCTGATTGACAGTGACAAGTTCTAGTTGTTGACTTCAGGAATCAATGGGATGTCTAGATAGCTTAATCCGTACCTCCAATCACATTTTGCTCTGCCCGATGTACCCCTTCATGTGTAAATAATCATTAGGCCTATGTTCTGAGTCTTACCAAGTACTCCCTTTGGACAGGCCAAGTACCCCATTGAGAACTACTGGCTTAGATTATGATGTGTGTTCTACCTTTTCATGGCATCAATGATGTCCATAGAGAAGCTCTCATCCCAGCCACAGTCCAGGAGGAAGCGGAACTCATCCACCTGCAGCAGGTAGCAGAGGGCAGACTCCTCCTGCACCCCCGACACGGCGGTCAGTTTGATAATAGAAGTCATTCTCCTCACCTGTCATACTGCAGGGACAAGACACATACCATTTCCAAATAGTTATCAAGAATATGGCTATATTGGAACCACTTTCACATGCAGCAAATATGACTGACAACGAACAGGTCTTATCTTTATAAAAATGTGAACAGACATGGTCCATAAATGGTCCATGGACATGATACACCTACACAGCAATTTTTAACACTATTCATCATACAGAGCTAGCTAGAGATGCCAAGCTACCTATTGAATGTTAGCAGTCCAAGCTAGCTAACGTTAGCTAGCATGCCAAGTTGGCTATCAGACAAATTGTCCTATAAAAATGGGCCATAGATTAACGAGTAACATACCATAAAGTGCCATATAAGTTATCACTAAAATTGAGCAAAGAAATCAACAACATGAACAGTCAAACATTATAATATTATGACATTTTCAGCAACGATTGTCAACGTCTTTCAACTAAGCGGAAGCTTGCCGCTGAAAATGTGAAAGGTCACTGGGAGGTACCATCAAATCATATTTATCGTGTCGTCAATAGAATAACTTTTATTTTCAAAGAAGAAAGGCACAAGTTTTTTTTACATTGAAATTAAAATTATTCCCCAGACGAATGTTGTAATATTCTCAAGTTCAAGGCCTATTGAATTCAAAAGTATTTAGATGTTTTACTGTTAGAAGGCAACAGCACCATTTTAGAGCAGTTGGTACGGTCTAACGTCCTCTGAGAGCCAGTGAGCAAGAGAAGCAGAAGGCCAAGGCAAGGTACAATTTCACCTTTTTTTTTTGTATGCCTTCCTATAAGTTACTTCTTAGTTTGAAGTCGTTATGTCTTTCTATAGCAGTGCAATACTTAAAATGTATATCATGCAATTGCAACCTACTGTATAATTATTGTGGGAAGAACCGAGGCATATTGCTTGCTAGCTAACGTTAGCCAGCTGGTCCTCTTGAGTACATGGTGAGCTAACTTGGCTGGTTTAGATTAATAACACATATGTTAATAACTTAAACGATAGTTATTAGCTAACTAAAATAAATGGTTACCGGTAGCTACCTGAATGAGTGTATTTGCTGATGTGGTTATGTGGACACAAACTAGCTATGGTAGCTATCTAGCTATCTTAAACTACTGTAGCAAGTTAATTGATTGCCAAATGAATCACAACGTAATGTTATGACGTTCATCCTTTACCAACTGATTATGAAATTGGCATCGGAAATAGACTGGTATGCTAACTTGATATGCTGCCACACAGCTATAGCTGCACCAAAGATTTGTTGTACAGTATACAAACAATGTCGTGTGTTTTGACACCAACAACAGGAAGTATGGTGAACTTTGCTGCCCTGATGCGTGACCATTGGGTGAACATATTTGTACCCCTTGGCTTTGTGATCGGGATCTACATGGACAGAGCACAGGATCAGAAGCTTACCGCTTTCAGAAACAAAAGCGCATTGTACAGCAGGTAAGTTATAAATCTGCAGCACACACTGATACTATAGATGCGAACCATACTGTGCTGGCACAGATATTTTGTTTTCACATTGTCCTTTCCCGCAACTATAGTGGATGCGAAACCAGGCCAATATGGCTTTGGCCTAGTGTGAATCAGGCATGACAGTATCTAGACTTCATAAGAAAGGATACATTCTTAGCAATAATCTAAGTGGGCACTAATGGTTCTCTGAATATTCTCCCCAATTTATAGGGAGCTGAAGCCTGGCGAGGAAGTCACCTGGAAGTAGACCCACCTGTCTCTGAATATTTATTGTGCCGAAGGCACATCTCCTGTTGTGTGATTTACATTTTCTGGATGGTCTTCAAATTAAGCACCCCGATACGTTTCCGTCACTGTATCGACCAATAAACATGTCCCTTTCATCTAAACACCCTCTAGTCACTAATTTGTGATTTAAGTATACACAACTATAGTAATAAGGCAGGGTTCTTCAATTCTGGTCCTGGAGGGCCGAAACACCTCTGTTTTTCATCCTCTCCTTCTAATCGGGGGCTAATTCAGACCTGGGACACCAGGTGAGTGCAATTAACTACCAGGTAGAAATAAAAAACAGAAGTGTTTCGGCCCTCCAGGACCGGAATTGAAGAACCCTGTAATAAGGCATAGTTGGACATTTGCAACACACAAAAACAAGGATTCTTTTACACCAATATGCAATTGAGTTTAATTCAATATTTACTGAACAGGTAAAGGGTAACATTGTTAAAGGGCTATTACATATCTATGACTTTAGATAATTTTGAGTGCCAGCATTGCACAATATAGTTTGAAGAGTCTAGACGAGTTTGTTGTAGAGGGCAATGCTGATGCACTACTCATTTAATTTGACTGCTGTCCTAAAATCAGATAACAATTCTACCTACACATAGTGTGACGTGAATGATGCTAGCGCAGCAGATAGCTATTGTGAAACTTGTATTAGAGTCCCTTCAGGATCGCTGCAGAGGTTCTGCAGTGTGAATAAGCCCTCTCTCAAACAGCAGCTCAGCCAAGGACACCTGGAAGAGCAGGGAATTACATCTTTAAGAAAACTGCATTGCAGACTCCAACACAATCACTGTATATCATCAAGGCTTGACCATGCACTACAGAGATGCATAAGTGGTTAGATTTTATGCAGAAGAAAGCATACATGTTTTAGCAATGTTGCATAACATGTTGAGAAACACACCTTGTCCTCAGCCAACTCGCATGGCAAGCTGCCCACTGTCACAAACTTTGGATACGCATGGATCAGAAACTCATGGCATCTGTGTGCTGAAAAAGTTACATCATAACAAAGGCTATCACTGCAGTGCGTCATCTCAGACAGGCACACATCACTGCTATATTAGCAAGGCAATTACAGAGACCGAATCATTCATACCTCTGCTTTTATTTCAAAGCTCTTGGGCTCCTCCTTGTGGTAGACTCTGGAGTTGTCGGCAGTGTAGTAAAGCCAAACTGCTTCTCCATCACTGCATAACCTGCGGCGGCACATTGACATTTTAGTCATTTAGCAGACGCTCTTATCCAGAGCGACTTACAGTTAGTGAGTGCATACATTAGTTTTTTTTAGTTTTCATACTGCCCCCCCCGTGGAAGCGAACCCACAATCCTGGCGTTGCAAACGCCATGCTCTACCAACTGAGCTACATCCCTGCCAGCCATTCCCTCCCCCAACCTGGACGACGCTTGGCCAATTGTGCGCCGCCCCATGGGTCTCCCGGTCGCGGCCGGCTACGACAGAGCCAGGGTCTTTTCTGAAAATGTCAACCCTTTAGAGCCATGCTTTTGTATTTCATGCTGAGATCTACCTGGCGATTCCAGAACGGACAAGTCTGACTCTGGTCTGGCCCCTGATGGCCACACCCATGTCCACAGCCTCTCCATCCTGCCACCTGGAAGGAGCTCCCTGGACACTGCTGGCCCTTTCCTCTGTGGATAATCACCAGAATCAGTTACACTGGCCATGTGGAGCAGTCACAGTAGTCAATTTAATGTGACATTTTAGAGTAAATATTTACATTTGAGTCATTTAGCAGCTATTATCCAGAGTGACTTACAATAAGTGTTCAACTAAAGTAGGTAAAACAACCACCTATCACAATTTCAAGTAAAACCTTATTTGGTACCTGCGGTGAGCATTGGGGGTAGACAGTCATGGAGATAGTCCCTAGCTTTCTGATCCACAGCAGCATCCACAGGGGCAAAGGTTGATAGCTTCTTCATCAGACCCTCTATTTTGGATAGGAACTGGGCCCTGCGTGGATCCTCCTATTCGCACACAGGTAGATTGAGGGTGCAGCGTTACATTATGTTCAGATATAAATATATTGTGTAGAACAGACGTTCTTTGCAATGGGGCATAGGCGTCAGCTCTGTTACATCTCCATCTTCAAAATGTCACCCTTCTGAACACACCCCTGCTGAGAGTGGGTGCTTAGAGGTTCATTGTACATTGGAAACCAGGCACAGGTAAATGGTGGTGTCTGAAGTACCTTGTCAGAGTTCTGTACCCCCATGTAAGTCAGGTAATCCACAGGCAGGCCTCGTCTGAAGTCCACATCATCCTCCATGGCCATCTCTAGGGCTGCTGGGACCACCTGTCAAAGAGATCATGTTCTGCATCATACAAAATACAAGCCTATAATTACAAGTAAAGGCATGTTTTTGTATAGATATTTTATATCCTGCAATATTTTAACTCTGTAAATTAATCCATGACCAATCTACATCACAAAATGTATTTATTGATACAAAATTAGACAAAGAACTGGACAGTGTCCCATACAAGCAATGCATAGGATTAAGCGGGTTAATAACAAACCTTTGCCAGTAGGTTTCCCCAGCTGTTCTTCTGGTAAGATGAGACAGTGATGTGGAGGGAGTGAGCATCCGACAGGCAGTCCCCCTGGTGGATGAAACCTCGGGGGAAGTAAAGGAGATCCCCAGCCTCCAGGACTACATCCAGGATGGGCTTCCCAATCTCTGACTGGCTAAAGTTAGCTGGAGGAGGAATACCAAGCCATCTGTAAGGACTGAGGCTGAGGTACAAGGGAGTGAGTGATCTGTCGTGATTGTCTATTCATAGGCACAATAGTGGACAAAGGACTACTTACGACTGGAAACGACAGGCAAGACCTCATTTTCTGACCTGAAAAGTGACAGGAAAAAACATCCCACAAAATATATTAGTTTCTCAGCAGAGTGTACTGACATGAATCATGTTCAAAATGGGTTGCTGCATGCAATAGGTGCTGATCACCTTTTTGGGACAAACTAGATTTAGACTAACTCAGTCACCTGGGGTTGTAAACTCTCCAGTGCTTCTTCCCTTCCAGCTGAACCACAAAGGCCTCGATGTCATCATAATGTGGAGCAAAGCCCTGTGTTCCTGGAGGTGTCAGATACCTGGGGACAAAAAAAATACATTTTTACTGAAATGTCATGAAGTGCATCAGCATTCAGCATGTGGTAAGAATACAATATAATAGTTTGTCATCCAAGGAGGAAATTATGTTCAGTCCCATACATGTTCAATAACTTTCAATGTTGTGTGAGAGCATCTCACTGGTCAGATAGATTGTCAGAGAGGGTCACTCACACGTTGGCTCCTGCCATGCTGCCAAAGTGCTCCTGGAGGATGGACAGCACATTCCACACAGTGGAGGAGAAGGCCTGGGGGTTCAGCATACGCAGGGAGCAACCACTCTGGATGACATGGAACATAACAGGTTGGGTTTCAATATTATGTTGAGGTACTAAGGACTTTAACTAGAACATGTTACACAGATATTGGTATGATCTAACCAACACTTGCTCACACTTTGTAAATGAAACTTGACAAATCAGGAGACTTTCATTTGGCTTTTTACCTCATAGAAGTCCCATACAGTGAATGGGAGCGCCCTCCCTGGAGGATTGTGTGTCTCTCTTTTGCCATTTGTGTAGCTGGTGACATCCAGGTTCACCCCATACTGAACATCATCCTGAAAATATCAATAGCAAAAACCTTATCTGATCAACAAAACTGACACTAAACACAGAAGATGTGTAGGTAGTCATGACACCTTACCTGTCTTAAAATGCAATCAAACTCTGCTGTGGAGAACAGTCCCGTATAATAGTCTGGATTCTGACGTTTGATCAAAACTGGCTTCTTTTCCCATGTATCTCTAAGATCAAGGAAGTCAATAGTTAACAAAGGATATCTCCCTGTGCAATCTAGTACAATACTGTACTGTGAAAGGCTACACAGGCATCCTTACCTGAAGAAGCTCTTGGAAGGAATGGGGTGGATGAGCCACTGGAAAAGTTTGCTTGCTCTCTCCCTGCTGTTGCTGACTTTAGCCAGTTCACTCAGCAGAGCATCTAGTCCCTCTCCGCACTGTACCTCCTGCATACAGCCAGACAATCAGTGTGTTTTAAGTTGATCAGTTTGACCAGGCGAGGCACAGAATAGCTTATATTGATCACAATGAGTAGCGATCTATTTGGGGATGCAAAGCGATTGTAGATCAGTGATTCTGCTTAGTCTGAATACAATGTAGTTTATCTCAAACACTCACAATGACTGAAAAACCTAGGGAACCACAGTCATACAATTACATAGGCTATATGCTGATGCTCCAAACTAACCTCTGCCAGTCTCTCCACACTCTTCTCTCTCTGTGCCGCTTTGATGACCTGCTTGCCCATCTGTTTCCTTTTGGTCTTTTTGATGGATTTGGGGGGCTGGATACCATTTTCCTTCCGCTTCTTTGCTGTAATCTATAAAAGCATCCAGTAGGCAGAGGCAGTCAGCCTTGAAATGGTTTTAGGCAATCAGCAGTCACTTGAGCAGATGCATATAGCAATAACAGATTAAACAGATGATCCTTACTTATATGCACATTTGCACTTTACATGCAAATTATGCAAGAAGACTACTTCAAATTACATACATTTGCTAGCTAGCTACTTCAGTTGGTTTGGCAACACAGTTGATGTGTGCCGGCTAACAAAACAGGACACTGTAAAGTACATTTTACAAAACATAGCCTATCTGAAATTGCAAGCGAGCAAACACCAGTAGTAATAACTTAACCCCAAGTACCTTCACAGTTGATGTTTTAACTTCAGGAGTCGATGCTAATAGCGCATTTTGGTACAATGCAAAAGCTGACACATGTTTCTTCTCCATGTTGTCGAATATTTTCTCATTCCTCACGTCATCAATAGTGCGACAACAGGGATATTCCTACAGTTATTTTATTGTAAATCAGCAAACTCCAGTTTGATAAAGCACTTAATCGTCCTCCACTGTGCAGGCTGTCAGAGGCAGCAATCTCTGGTCATACTCCTATTGTTTGTCCCAATGACGTATATAAACCCTGGACTGCTAATTGCTTTGTATTGGCCATTGAGTGGCTTTGACGCCACGGGTTGGCCATATTGCCCCTCCCTAGTAGGCACAGTCCATAGGAATTAACGGAATTCTACAGTATTTCAATGGAATGTTTCAAGGGTAAAATTATATGTGTTTAAGTAGTGAGAACAGCTACATTAGTACTCTAAAAAAAAGTACTGTTTTTTAATTTGTAATTGTTTATGTTTTGCTCACATAATATAATTTAAAAGTATGCATTAAGGTGTCTGCAATATAATAAACGTGTCAAAAACGAATGTAGAAATTGATAAATGCATTTCTATAGCTTCCTAAATATTTTACACTTGGAGTCCCAAGATGGCTGCGCGGTGGCTTCCATGTGTCATGCAGGGTTTAAACACATAATTGGTTTGTACCTAATATTATGATAACTAACCCCCTTTCATCTGTGTTTCTAAGGTGTAGGCTACTTTTAAAGCCTTTCCTGAGTGTTTACTTTATTAATGCTGCTCTATATTTAATTACTGACGAAAAAGCATACAAAATAAGTAAATAAAATGTATGTATGAATTTCCTTTGCTCAAAAGAGGTATGCATGGTCTACAAACAGGGCAGTTTGAATGCCTCTCACTATGTAACATGATAGATGTGCTTTTATTGGTAGCTGGCTGCCTCCCTCAATACTTGCTAGGCCTAATGCCATAATAGTTTAGTGTTTGGAGAGGGTTTGAAACAGTGCCTCCTGCCCTGTGCCATGTACCATGCGTCAAGACTAGTCAATACCTTTTGTCAGAGGCTGTAGTGCTTAATATGATGCCCCTGCTACATACCCCTTAGTTTACATAATTTAACTGTTTAAATGATAACATCGACTGTTTATGGATGTATTGTTTTATTTTGCTTGCACTGTACAGTCGTGGTCAAAAGTTTTGAGAATGACACAAATACTAATTTTCACAAAGTCTGCTGCCTCAGTTTTGATGATGGAAATTTGCATATACTCCAGAATGTCATGAAGAGTGATCAGATGAATTGCAATTAATTGCAAAGTCCCCCTTTGCCATGAAAATGAACTTAATCCCCAAAAAACATTTCCACTGCATTTCAGACCTGCCACAAAAGGACCAGCTGCCATCATGTCAGTGATTCTCTCATTAACACAGGTGAGAGTGTTGACGAGGACAAGGCTGGAGATCACTCTGTCATGCTGATTGAGTTAGAATAACAGACTGGAAGCTTTAAAAGGAGGGTGGTGCTTGAAATCATTGTCTTCCTCTGTTAACCATGGTTACCTGCAAGGAAACACGTGCCGTCATCATTGCTTTGCACAAAAAGGGCTTCACAGGCAAGGATATTGCTGCTAGTAAGATTGCACATAAATCAACCATTTATCGGATCATCAAGAACTTCAGGGAGGGAGGTTCAATTGTTGTGAAGAAGGCGTCAGGGCGCCCAAGAAAGTCCAGCAAGCGCCAGGACCGTTTCCTAAAGTTGATTCAGCTGCGGGATCGGGGCACCACCAGTGCAGAGCTTTGTCAGGAATGGCAGCAGGCAGGTGTGAGTGCATCTGCACGCACAGTGAGGCGAATACTTTTGGAGGATGGCCTGGTGTCAAGAAGGGCAGCAAAGAAGCCACTTCTCTCCAGGAAAAACATCAGGGATAGACTGATGTTCTGCAAAAGGTACAGGGATTGGACTGCTGAGGACTGGGGTAAAGTCATTTTCTCTGATGAATCCCCTTTCCGATTGTTTGGGGCATCCGGAAAACACCTTGTCCGGAGAAGACAAGGTGAGCGCTACCATCAGTCCTGTGTCATGCCAACAGTAAAGCATCCTGAGACCATTCATGTGTGGGGTTGCTTCTCAGCCAAGGGAGTGGGCTCACACACAATTTTGCCTAAGAACACAGCCATGAATAAAGAATGGTACCAACACATCCTCCGAGAGCAACTTCTCCCAACCATCCAAGAACAGTTTGGTGACGACCAATGCCTTTTCCAGCATGATGGAGCACCTTGCCATAAGGCAAAAGTGAAAACTATGTGGCTCGGGGAACAAAACATCGACATTTTGGGTCCATGGCCAGGAAACTCCCCAGACCTTAATCCCATTGAGAACTTGTGGTCGATCCTCAAGAGGCAGGTGGACAAACAAAAACCCACAAACTCCAAGCATTGATTATGCAAGAATGGGCTGCCATCAGTCAGGATGTGGCCCAGAAGTTAATTGACAGCATGCCAGGGCGGATTGCAGAGGTCTTGAAAAAGAAGGGTCAACACTGCAAATATTGACTCTTTGCATAAACTTAATGTAATTGTCAATAAAAGCCTTTGACACTTATGGAATGCTTGTAATTATACTTCAGTATACCATAGTAACATCTGACAAAAATATCTAATTACACTGAAGCAGCAAACTTTGTGAAGACCAATACTTGTGTCATTCTCAAAACTTTTGACCACGACTGTACATCATGTGGGCATACTCATTATATCCAGAAGGCGAGGTCAGTACAGGTGCATCAAAGCTGGGGCAGAGAGACTGGAAAAACAGCTTCTATCTCAAGGCCATCAGACTGTTAAACAGCCATCACTAGCACAGAGGCCCTGCTGCCTACATACAGACTTGAAAATCACTGGCCACTTTAATAAATGGAACACTAGTCACTTTAATAATGCCACTTTAATAATGTTTACATATCTTGCATTACTCGTCTCATATGTATGTACCGTATTCTATAATATCTATTGCATCTTAGCCTCTGCCGCTCTTACAATGACATTGCTCATCCATATATTTATACAATCTTATTCCATTCCTTTACTTAGATTTGTGTGTATTAGATATTTGTTGTGGAACTGTTAAATATTACTTGCTAGATATTACTGCACTGTCGGATCTAGAAGCACAAGCATTTCGCTACACTCGCAATAACATCTGCTGACCATGTCTATGTGACCAATACATTTGATTTGATTTGATTTTGAGTACGACCACAACTGCTCAGTACCTTTTATGGCCACAGGGTGTAGCACTTCACCTACAGTTTGTCCAAGGTACAGCAACTCCCACTCCCAGAATGCTTCAGTATGTTTGCCTAGCCTTCTCCAACAATGCAGCTTACTGTAAAATTGATCGTGCACATAGGGAGATCTTGCTAGCTACGCGTACATGGTTACATTCAAGACCGAGCATGCCATTTTGTTATCAACTTGCATAACGCGACATATATTTTGAAGCCTTTTGAAGGTTTTATTTGGAGACATTTTGGAGCTTCATACCGGGTGAGTAGCAAGCTAACTAGCATTCGTCTGCTAGCAAATACATGCCTGTTGTGGCTAGCTGGTTTATTGTTCAGATGAGACATGGTTCCCCTTTGCCTTTTCTCCAACCCCCTTCTCTTGTATTTTTCTTGTTGTGCGGAGACGTCTATTACTCTTAACTATTCAGTAATGAACTTAGCTATTTCGCCTCTAGTATTATGCTCTTAAAAGCCAGCTAGCTGGCGCGTTAGCACTGTGTGTGTGTCGGTCGTTCTTGGTACCCTCGCGAGCGTGTTTGCTTTGATCTCTCCCTCTGACTGACACGAAACACACGTCAACACAGCAGTAAGTCATTAGCTAGCTAGCTGATCTTTTTTAAAATAAACGTTAAATGATTAAGGTGACAAAAGTACTTGGTGTCTGTGTTACAAGCCAGCAAAATGCTGTTTATTGCAGCTAACTAGTAAGCTAGCTGGTTACCTAGTCAATGCAACTTGTTAGTCTTTTCCCCATTTGATTTGCATGCTGCAATGAAGTTGGCTTGCCACAATACTTTGCCAATTCAGTACCATTGGCATGGAGTGAATCATGGTACAAAGAAGGGTGACACCACACCAACAACAAGGATTTAGGATAATTATGTTATATTGTTCTGTTACAGTAAGCTTCAGTAGCGGTCCCAAAAAAAGATACCCCTTAGTAATAGTGGTACTAACTAGAGGTAATTGCACACCTCAGTTTGCCTTAGCACTATAGTTTATTTGTATTTCATATGTTAGCTATATTGATATTTTACATGCATGGGTTACAAACTAGAGTTATTTTGTTACCAATAAGAAACTAGTGGGAAAAGCAACAATCATAGCAAAAACATAATTAGACATGTAATCTAAAATAATCAAAACAGAGCAAAATTACACTTAATTTGTATATTCTGTAAAAGGGGCGGTACACCAAAAATGTATATATATACTTCATTTTATTGAGTGATTCATCCATTGATCCTAAGAGAAAGTGATAGAGAATATGGCTTAGTTTTCTTTCTTTAATTACCCCACAGCCAGCATTAGCATCGCTGCTATTGAAACAATGGGAGTGGTAGGGCCTATGGCAGGATGCTTCAAAAAGCATGCCCAAATCTTGTCACTTCAAACCAAATGTTATGTGGTCTTCTGTAGCTCAGTTTTCAGAGCATCGCGGTAAATGATAGTATGTTCGAGTCCCGGGACCACCCATACTTAAAATGTATGCGCAAATGACTGTAAGTCTCTTTGGATAAAAGTGTCTGCTAAATGGCATATATATATAGTACCAGTCAAAAGTTTGGACACACCTACTCATTCCAGCATGGCTACCACAGCATTCTGCAGCGATATGCCATCCCATCTGGTTTGTGCTTAGTGGGACTATCACTGACCCAACACACCTCCAGGCTGTGTAAGGGCTATTTGATCAAGAAGGAGAGTGATGGAGTGCTGCATCAGATGACCTGGCCTCCACAATCACCCGACCTCAACCCAATTGAGATGGTTTGGGATGAGTTGGACCGCAGAGTGAAGGAAAAGCAGCCAACAAGTGATCAGCATCTGTGGGAACTCCTTCAAGACTGTTGGAAAAGCGTTCCTCAGGTGAAGCTGGTTGAGAGAATGCCAAGAGTGTGCAAAGCTGTCATCAAGGCAAAGGGTGGCTGCCTTGAATAATCTAAAATATATTTTGATTTGTTTAACACTTTGGTTACTACATGA